AAAAAAAAAAAAAAATGCGGGCTTCCTTAGTCTTTCCTATTCCCGAGTAGCTATCACTGTTCACTTTATTCTAGATAAATGCACTTAAGTGAGTGTCATCCTAGTTCTGCTTGATGCTAGGAAATATAACATCATGCCCTCCTAATGTATATTCCACTTAGATTCTTCACACAAAATGGTCTGGACCAAAGGTACTCCTGTTTTAGACTGAACTAGTCTAAAAATTCATTCCAAGATATTGTGGTTGGAGCACATGTCTCTCTGACACAAAAACCAAATACTTGGTGGTGAACATTCATTCAGAATATTCAGATATTCTGGACAGAACTTTTACCACAGGGTTTGGCAAACTGAGGCTGGGCCTCCTGTTTTTGTAAATAAAATTTTGTTTGAACACAGCCATTTCCATTCATTTACATGCCTTTATGACCATATGATCTGCAAATCCTAAAATATTTACTATCTTTAAGAAAAGTTTGCTGACTTTTCCTCTAGAGAGAGCAGAGAATATCCAGAGTATCTCAAGCAAACAGATTTGGGTGAGTTTTAATCTCTTCCATGAACAGAGTTTTCAAGTTTCCAATCCCAGAGCCCAATATTCTAGAATGGATTTATTCTAAGAACAGGTCACATCCTTTCAGGAATGAAAATCATGTGTTTATTTGGTGCTGGAAAGAGATGTCGTCAGCTAAAACAGGTGTCTCCAGCTGAGCACTCATAGGCAAGCACGGTTGATAATGTTTGTAGTGAAAGTGTCATATAAATGAGGATGGATAGGCCTAAGGGTTCGTGTTCAGAATGAGAACTGAACTCAAGAAATTCAGTTTCCCTGAATTTTCCTTCTGCGAAGCATTGGAAGTGATACATGAATCCATCCTCTGCTACACAATCAATGCTTTCTATGCCTTTAACTGCTTTTTTTTTAAATGTAAATATTCACTAATTAAACAATTAAAAGTGTGAAATCAGCAGTGTCCCTCTATTTGAAAACAAGATTCCTCATTCTGTGCATGGGGTTTTTAGAGCCAGTGTGTTGTATGCCAAGTGAGGGACAGAAAGATGTCCCTGAGGAGACCGTCCCCGCATACTGGTTGTGGGCCCCCACGAAGGTCGATTTCAGAGTCACAGTGTGCCTGCCCTTCGGAGTCCTCTCTCACCTATGACCTGCGATGATACAGTGATGCAGCGAATTTCTTTTAAGAGACCAATATGCCATTCAATAGCCCATACTGAGCGAGGCCCAGTGAGG